CTTCCTGCTGTACCAGAGCGACACGTCTGATTGCAACAGACGTCTCTTTTTCTCTGCTCGTGCAAGCGTGTCCTCAATGAAGCGAATTTATTGTTTGCTTATAGAATGAAAAAATGTATGGCCATAGCCCACAAGAATCACTTCTTCCTGCTGTACCAGAGCGACACGTCTGATTGCAACAGACGTCTCTTTCTCTGCTCGTGCAAGCGTGTCCTCAATGAACGAATTTATTCTATAGAATGAAAAAATGGCCTAGCCCACAAGAATCACTTCTTCCTGCTGTACCAGAGCGCGACGTCTGATTGCAACAGACGTCTCTTTGTCTCTGCTCGTGCAAGCGTGTCCTCAATGAAGCGAATTTGCTTATAGAATTGTTTGCAAGAATATTCTTCCTGCTGAATGAAACAATGCCAGCCCACAAGAATCAATTCTTCCCATAAAATTAGAGCGACGTCTGATTGCAACAGACGTCTCTTTGTCTCTGCTCGTGCAAGCGTGTGTCCTCAATGAAGGAATTTATTGTTTGCTTATAGAATGAAACAATGTATGGCCATAGCCCAAGAATCACTTCTTCCTGCTGTACCAGAGCGACACGTCTGATTGCAACAGACGTCTCTTTGTCTCTGCTCGTGCAAGCGTGTCCTCAATGAAGCAAATTTATTGTTTGCTTATAGAATGAAACAATGTATGGCCATAGCCCACAAGAATCACTTCTTCCTGCTGTACCAGAGCGACACGTCTGATTGCAACAGACGTCTCTTTCTGCTCTGCTCGTGCTTATAGAAGCGTGTCCTCAATGAAGATTGAATTTATTGTTTGCTTATAGAATGAAACAATTTATGTTTGCCATAGCCCACAAGAATCACTTCTTCCTGCTGTACCAGAGCGACACGTCTGATTGCAACAGACGTCTCTTTGTCTCTGCTCGTGCAAGCGTGTCCTCAATGAAGCGAATTTATTGTTTGCTTATAGAATGAAACAATGTATGGCCATAGCCCACAAGAATCACTTCTTCCTGCTGTACCAGAGCGACACGTCTGATTGCAACAGACGTCTCTTTGTCTCTGCTCGTGCAAGCGTGTCCTCAATGAAGGAATTTATTGTTTGCTTATAGAATGAAACAATGTATGGCCATAGCCCACAAGAATCACTTCTTCCTGCTGTACCAGAGCGACACGTCTGATTGCAACAGACGTCTCTTTTCTCTGCTCGTGCAAGCGTGTCCTCAATGAAGCGAATTTATTGTTTGCTTATAGAATGAAACAATGTATGGCCATAGCCCACAAGAATCACTTCTTCCTGCTGTACCAGAGCGACACGTCTGATTGCAACAGACGTCTCTTTGTCTCTGCTCGTGCAAGCGTGTCCTCAATGAAGCGAATTTATTGTTTGCTTATAGAATGAAACAATGTATGGCCATAGCCCACAAGAATCACTTCTTCCTGCTGTACCAGAGCGACACGTCTGATTGCAACAGACGTCTCTTTTCTCTGCTCGTGCAAGCGTGTCCTCAATGAAGCGAATTTATTGTTTGCTTATAGAATGAAACAATGTATGGCCATAGCCCCAAGAATCACTTCTTCCTGCTGTACCAGAGCGACACGTCTGATTGCAACAGACGTCTCTTTATCTCTGCTCGTGCAAGCGTGTCCTCAATGAAGCGAATTTATTGTTTGCTTATAGAATGAAACAATGTATGCAAGAAACAGCCCAGACAAGTGTCTCAATCTTATGGCCTAGCCCACAAGCTGTTGGTACCAGAGCGACACGTCTGATTACCTCTAGAATGAAACGTCTGATTGAATCACTTCTTCCTGCTGTAAGACACGTCTGATTGCAACAGACGTCTCTTTTCTGCTCGTGCAAGCGTGTCCTCAATGAAGGAAATTTTTGTTTGCTTATAGAATGAAACAATGTATGGCCATTGCCCACAAGAATCACTTCTTCCTGCTGTACCAGAGCGACACGTCTGATTGCAACAGACGTCTCTTTGTCTCTGCTCGTGCAAGCGTGTCCTCAATGAAGGAATTTATTGTTTGCTTATAGAATGAAACAATGTATGGCCATAGCCCACAAGAATCACTTCTTCCTGCTGTACCAGAGCGACACGTCTGATTGCAACAGACGTCTCTTTATCTCTGCTCGTGCAAGCGTGTCCTCAATGAAGCGAATTTATTGTTTGCTTATAGAATGAAACAATGTATGGCCATAGCCCACAAGAATCACTTCTTCCTGCTGTACCAGAGCGACACGTCTGATTGCAACAGACGTCTCTTTGTCTCTGCTCGTGCAAGCGTGTCCTCAATGAAGCGAATTTATTGTTTGCTTATAGAATGAAACAATGTATGGCCATAGCGCACAAGAATCACTTCTTCCTGCTGTACCAGAGCGACACGTCTGATTGCAACAGACGTCTCTTTATCTCTGCTCGTGCAAGCGTGTCCTCAATGAAGCGAATTTAGTGTTTGCTTATAGAATGAAACAATGTATGGCCATTGCCCACAAGAATCACTTCTTCCTGCTGTACCAGAGCGACACGTCTGATTGCAACAGACGTCTCTTTGTCTCTGCTCGTGCAAACGTGTCCTCAATGAAGCGAATTTATTGTTTGCTTATAGAATGAAAAAATGTATGGCTATAGCCCACAAGAATCACTTCTTCCTGCTGTACCAGAGCGACACGTCTGATTGCAACAGACGTCTCTTTATCTCTGCTCGTGCAAGCGTGTCCTCAATGAAGCGAATTTAGTGTTTGCTTATAGAATGAAACAATGTATGGCCATTGCCCACAAGAATCACTTCTTCCTGCTGTACCAGAGCGACACGTCTGATTGCAACAGACGTCTCTTTGTCTCTGCTCGTGCAAGCATGTCCTCAATGAAGCGTATTTATTGTTTGCTTATAGAATTAAACAATGTATAGAATCTCACAAGTTAGTTTCTAGAAATTATTGGCAAATCTGCAAGAGTCTTCTGCACAACAGCAACTCTTCAGTCCCTATCCCAGTCAATCAATTCGAAGTCCTGATATCTACAACAAATAAGGTGGAATGCTTTGCTCGGAAATTCTCTTCCAACTCATTACTCGACTCACTTGGATTACCCACTCCTGATTTCCCCATTAAAACTGAGTATATACTGAGTGATATGTGCATAACGCCAACAATGGTCTCGGACATCATTTCTAAATTAGACTCCTACACATGGAGGTGACGGAATACCAGCCGCCGTCCTAAAGAAATGTACTTCCGAGCTGGCCCGAATTCTCTCCAAAACCTACCACTATTGCGATCAAAGGCGTTTGACAGGGTTTTGCATGCTGGTCTTTTACGTAAGCTTCACAGCTACGGTATTACAGGACGATTTTTTGATTGTACCAGAGGAAATTATTCAATATTTTACGATTTGTTAATATTTTCTTCATTATTGTTCCCCGTTGAATTCCACTTAATAATACTGCTAAGTATATTTTTAAAATTGCATATTAGTATGGGAATCTTAATTCCAGCAGTAACAGGGGACCAATTTTCCTCAAATCCCAAGTATTTCTTTCCAGCATTCTCGCATTTATATTTTCTATTTATATATCATTTATATTTTCAAATCGCCGTTTATATTTTCAATTTTTTTCCAGTTTCGAATTTCTCAAGGCTTTATACCTGACTCTTTGGGGCTCTTCCAAGTATAGCAATGAATTTTTGCAATCTTTGAAGTTCACTTTCTCCTTAAGTTTTAACCTGTGATCCCCCTGTCAAGGTATTTTCTTTTTTTACACTATCGAACTTTCAGTCACGCTTGGGTTGTGTCAACTCTTCAAGTGTTAAAATATAATTATTTTGCTTAAATGAATACCAAGAAGATACTATGTATTTAAGTTAATTACATAATATCTAAGTTAATTACATAATAAATGAATACCTCAAACTGATTTAGAAATAATATTTAAAAAAAGAGTTTGGATCGTGAAAATGTTACTTGGGGTAGGACATACAAATAAATGACATAGTCACAAACCAGAAACTATGCATGAAAATAAATTTCAAGCATTGTTTCTTGCTTGTGACAATGTCATTTGTATGCCTGGTCAATCCCAAGATGTTGTCCCCGACCCAAACACATTTTTTAATATTATTTCTAGGCCATTTTGACGTATTCATTTTTATAGGATTAGCAGCCTTTTATTTTTCTATATAAATTGCTCTGTTTTGTCAATATTTGTTTTCACGTAATTGGTTTAAATACTTTTTCTAGATTGTTACAACTATTGGTTCAGTTTCGCTCTCGCTCTTAGTGGTGTTCGATTTTTTATTCATTTCACCCAAGCCAGTAAGACAATAAAGCCAGTAAGACGCAAGAGGCTACTCAGTGTTAGAGAATATAAAATAACATTATTAATGAGAGAGAACAATAATTAAGAAAACAAAAAATAGTGATTGAGATTACATTTAATTTTTGAAAATCAAACTTGACTGGAAAGCAAGAAACTGGAAGAGAATTTTACAAGCGTGAAGTGCGATAGAAGAAACTGTTAACATAGAACTTACGGTTAAATCTAGCCATTTGAAACGTAAAATGATGATCCCTGGCAGACAATCTATTACTTAAATTCATAAGGTTTAGTCACCATAGCGGAAAATTCATCAGAACAGTTACCATGAAAGTTTTTACAGAAAAGGCACAGGGGAGCTCCGTTACGGTGATGGAAAAAGGAGTGAAACAGAGATGTCAGGTCAGTACCAATAACATTGCAGATTCTTCATTGGATTTTATCAAGAATTTCTAAATATATAGCAGGAGCACTAGACCAGATGTAGCAGCAATATTCAAAGCAACTAACATGAAAGTATTTATTAATTTCGTTATCATATTTATTCAATGGTCTCCTGAATTCACCAGTGCTTGATTCTTTATCCGTGTGGTTAATGCTGACTGGGGAAAATTTCTTCACAAAAAATTACATCTATCTATTGATCTAATCGTGTCAGTGTTACAGCCACATTACTTTGAAACACCAGTTCTCGTAAGATCACCGAACTTAAGCAATGTTAGATCTTGTCAGTACCTAAATGGGTGACCGCTTTGGAATACCAGGTGCTTTAAGCTTGGATGTGCGGGTGATACAATAAATAATGGCTCGGAATTATTAATCGGATACCCGAATTCCAATTCCCGTTGGATTCGTTATTTTCACTTATGTACAAATACCCTTGGGAAATGTAAGAATCCACATCTTCTCCTTCAGCTATGGATTAAATAGTAAGACTTGTATCACTAAATCATTATTATCTCAAAAAAAAATCTTATAATCCAAAATATTTTCTGGCTTTAAATAACCCGCAAAGTGATTGATCAGCTGTAGAAAACGAATCAATAAATAAATGTCCTCAAGTATTTAATATCTCAAACATTTCGCTTTCAATTCCCTCAGTTGTATGAAAAATTTACCATGCCCATAAAGAAGCAATATTTGCATGGGTGTGAAAATTTATGCCGTAGTTTCAATATAAATCAACAGATAAAAATATTTCTACAGTAAAGAACATGCTACTTCATCGATAACTCGCCGTTTCACCATTACCATCTATCGTGCTTGCTGAATCTTCTCGACAATGGTGGAGGTTGACCGGCCTCCTGCTCTTTCTTCGTGCGTCACGCTTGTTCGACCACTTTTAAACTTCCACGCGTACACAATTCTACGTGGTAGTGCGCTGTCTCCGTATTGTGTTAAAGACCTCCGGTGAATTTCAGACACTAGCACACCTTCCGGTCAGAGAAATCGGATCACTGCTATTTGTTACTCCTTGGTGAACACTGCTAGCGGAGCGGCCATGTTTACACTGTAACAGCAGCAATAAAAACTGGCGTGGTCTAGCTGTCATTTCTATCACGTGACCATAATAGTACCAACTTTAAGCACGCATGGACAGAAGGCAGTGTGTCAAACATAAAGATATGTTATAGCAAAAGTGCGGATAATTTTTGATTTACCCACGTATATAATCAATAATTATCTAGACACAAATCTATTAACTTATTTGTATTATTTGGCTTCCAGAGGATTTACTATGTAGCTCCAGTTTTTTTGCGTGAAAAAACTGTGCGCAACTGAACTTGAAGCTTGATAAATATACGTCTATTTTGTATTTGGATTCGAACAATGACCGTTCATCCTGGGTATGACGATAAACTACATCCGGCAGCAAGGCCTCTGATCGAGTAATTGAAGGTTTTGAGGGGCGTAAAATCACCTGAACTGGGGTGATAGCACCTGTTAAGATTCCAGCTATAGCCGAATAGCGACCCCCCCCCAACACACACACAAAGAAACAAAACCCAACGGTATATTTTTATAATAAAATGAGCAACAATACATTTTTATAGCAAAATGACAATCAATTCAACACTAAAAAATGTAAAAATACATTTTTATAGTAAAATTGCCATTATTACATTTTATGATCTCCAAACTATATATCTAAAAACATAACTTTACACTTAAAGCATAAAATTATGTACAAAATATCTTTAGTTGAAAGCATAAAATTTACGTACAATATATTTAGATTTCGGCATTAAATAACCCATAGAGGTTGATATGCCGCTAAACATAATTGATAAATCGACTGACCGTGATGTAAAACCTGTTTAAGGTGATAACAAATCGTATAAATTTGGTGAGGTGTCTTTTTTTTTTTTTTTTTTTTTTTTTTTTTTTGCTTGTTTTTCCGAATGCTTTCAGTATTCAATGAAAGCTTGATGAGAAAACCAAGCATTTGTCAAAGGTTTTTAAATTTACGCCTGTAATAACTTTTGTTTAAATAATTGGAAAGGTAAAAATTAAGCAAACTATTCTTTCTAACAGCATCCTTCATCCCCGTTGCATTTATCTTGACTGTGACCATGAATGTTAATGACATGAGAGAGAGAGAAAAACGACCGACAGCATCTCCTATCACTACAACGAAAATATAACGTTTGACAATTCGAAATTTCCGTTGTTGGTTCATGAGAACTAGCCATCTGAAAGAGTCTATTCCTCTTACAAACAATCACACACAGATATTAAGAGCAAAGTGCAAGCGATTCGTGTATATTCCGTCACAAACTGTAACTGGATGAACTTACAAGTATAGATCGTGATACGTTGTTTTATAATCATAAAAGCGAATTAAGTTAATAACATGTCACTATAAATGGCCTTGTTAAAATATGATTAGGCGCCCTATCAGGAATTTATGTGCGTTGTCCTCATATCAGAATATTCACAAATTTGCTGAACTTGTATTTATTTAAGTGGCGAAAGTAGAATTTAAAAGTTGATCGAATTATAATCTTTGGTGCTATGTATTTTTTCCCTTTCAGTGGTTCCTTTTTTCTTTTTCTTTTGTGCTAGTGTTATTAGTATCTTTGTATGTGCTTACTCTTTTAGCCTAATACTAGAGCTAACAACTCACAAAGATGGCAGACTGTAATTCACAATCTTCAAGCGTCTACTCAGACATTCAATAAAGCTTTGTATCTGTGAATTGACCTTATCCTTACGAAACATTTTATACTACTAATAAAATTCTTAATAAAATCCAAAGAAGAATCTGCAATTTTGCTGGTCCTAACTTGGTATTCCGGCATCCGTCACTTTCCTACCAACATAACATAGCTTCCTTGTGCTTTTTATATAAGTATTTTCATAGTAATTGTTCAGGCGAGTTTTGCTCTGTGATACCTAAACTTTATGAATTTACGCTCAGTACTAGATTGGCTGCATGGTATCATCGTTTTACAGTTGAATTGGTAAGATGTAACCGTAAGTTCTTTGCTAAAATTTTGTTATCTTACAGTTCTTACTTGTGAAACTGTGGTATTCGTATGATTTTCTTGTACACGTCGGTGGTCACCATAATTTTTCACTCACACCATAGGAGTAGTGGTATTAAAATTTTAGGCTTATTTTTACTAAGATAAAAAAAGGAAAAAGATATGTATACAATACATAGAAGGCATGACAAATTGCATGGTAATTTCATAAAACATTATTGATGTATTTGTATGTGTATTTTACGTTACAATTGTAATAATGTTCATGTTATAAAAGGGAGTAAGTTACTCCGTAATATCCCTATAGTCTTATTACGGGGGGAAGTGACACACGTGTTATCATCCCGACAGTTCTTGGGCGAAAAGATTGAATCTCACGTTTTTTGGCGGGATGTCCGTATTTCCAGCAGGAACAGTTTTTTTTTTTTTTTTACATGCTGGGAGTAATTTTATTATTTCTATTTTTTTATTTGATTTATTTTAAGCACGGTTTAAATATTATTGCTTTATTTTATTTTATTTATAATTTTCATTACTATTATTATTTTATTTATTTGTAACAATAATAATATCCCTATAGAACTCTCTTCTGGCTTCTTGCTTTCCAATCAAGTTTGATCTTCAAAAATTTGAATGCAATGTCAGTCATTATCTACTGTCTTCTTGATTCCTCTTCCTTTATTGTTCTAGCTCTTTAATAATGTTTTTCTTTATCTTATTCTTTCACACCGAATAACACCTTGTATTTTAGCAGCCTTAATGCCTTGCTTGGAGGGAAATGATTACAAAAAACATAAATATTTATAATTCTCAAATTTAAAAGATGATTATCTTAACTCAATGAACATACTGATGGATAATTATAATCTTTGATGTAAGACATTTTTTCTTTTGAATAGTTCTTTTTCTTTTTTTATCTTTCATGCTGGTATTGTTATTGTTTTTGTATGTTTATTATTTGAATCTTCATTATTGGCGCTAACAAATCAACAAGATGGTAGACTGTAATTCACAGTCTTCACAGTTAACACGACGACACCGGATAGAACTCCTCCCTTGGACTCGTAATGTTACTAATTAGTCTCTGGAAGATTTCATTGTCCCTCTGAAGACACGTAGAAAGTAAGGAACTGTTTTTTGAAAGGAGAAATTACTGCAAACATTCACAGGCGATTAGTGAATGCTTATAGAAAATGTGCACTAGAAGTAAGCACAATAAATTGATGAATCAACAGAGTTAATGGCAATTCTAGAGAGAAAAGAGAAACTGAACTTGTGACAGGTTCCACAATGGCAGGTCAGCTGCTACTGTCAATAAGAATAAGACCAAACACAGCTGATATTCTCATTAAAACTAAGAAAAGAATCGATCTGTTTAAGCCTTCGAATGGGTCATTGTAGTTTCTGCAATAGAGTACAGTCTCTATATTACTCAAAATCTGTCCAAACCGGTGCCCAAAATGCTGTCAGAATTCATTAAGGAGCAAAGGGCCGTTGCTGAGTTTCTGGAGTCTTGATCACGCACCCTCAAAAGTTTTACCCATGAAGGATGCACATAGAGGACAATGTCACTCCAGCGATGAAGAGGAGGAATAAGCAATGCACATATAGCTAAGAAAGCAGACAAGAAGATTCTATGGATATATGAGATTGTGCATAACAAGTGAAATGTGGATACTGTTGGCAGATGCAGAAAGAAGATCCAAGCGTTTTGAGAACAAATGCATGAGAAAACTCATTGGAGTTTTCAATTGGGAACAAAAAACAATGAGTTTGTGCAGAAAAAGGTTGAAAGTTTTGTGGGACACCAGGAACCTCTTCTCGCCACTGTCAAGCGGAGAAAAATTACGTGGTTTGGACACATTAGAAGGCACAACATCTTGTGCAAGACCATAATGCAAGGCACCGTTGAAGGTGGACGTGGGAGAGGGCGTCAACGCAAAAACTGGTTGGACAATGTCAAACAATGGCTAAGTATGACTGTACCAGAATTGCTGATGGCTGCCGTTAATGGACCGTTGTGGAAAAGAGTTAGTGTGGCTTCTGCGTTCGAATCCGCCCTACGATTACAAATGTCAAGTGGGTGGTGGTGATGATGATGATGATGATGATGATGATGATGATGACACGTTTCCAGATTCTGCTTAATCTGATTCTAGGCAAAGGGCTAGCGTACAACACTTTGACCGTGGACATAACTGCTATCATCCTTTCAACTAAAATAAAATGATTATTAATTATCTATTGTTCGCAAATATTTCTTCTTTATGCAGTGTTTCCCTTCAGAATGTAGTTGATCATAGTTCTCCACAACTTCCTATCCTTTGTAGCTCTAAGTAATGATTATAATTATATTCTTACTATTACCCTTTCCAGTTCCTGTTCTACCACCATCCATTTACACAAGCTTGTTTGGTAGGTTACTCGCTGTCTCGCTCTTCCTTTTAATGCCCCGTAAGTTTTAACGTGTCCATTTTGTTTCCATTTTTTTAAACCATCCTATATGCTCACAGACTCCGTTCATGATATTGTCAACATCATTCAGTAGAACTACATTTCCGTTGCCTCAAAACTCTTTATATGAGAAGGAATTGTCCGACATTCGCTAGCATATTGAAAGATTGGTATTATATAGCAATTCAACACATTTTTGTGTCTAACATTTTTTGATTTTGGGGGGTTTTTTGTTTGTTTTTTATCTCTTAATACTTTATTTAACTTTTGGGGGGTAACTTTCGCTCTTTTAATGTGTCTTTGGATTTCTGTGTCACATGTAATAAGTTTTTTCTTGCAATGTTCTTTTTCAGATTTGATGGTAATCTTGACCGAGAAAAATGTTTATATATTTTACTTGTTTCTTGGTTTCGTCCAAGTGACGTCATTACATTTGTTTTCTCCTTTCCTCATTCTCTTTCCCTATTTCTTTTTCTCTTTTGCAATTTATCCTCCTCTCGTTTTCTCTCGCCCTCCTCTTTGTCTGTCTGTCTTTCTCTTTTCTCTCCTCTCTCTCATTCTTACTATCTCTGTACTAATCTCTTTCATTCTTTCTCATTTCTCTCTTTCACGCCTCCCTCTTCTTCTCGTTTTGTCCTTTCCTTTCTCTTTCTTTCTCTTTTTTCTCATTTTCTATTCTTCCTTTCTGTTTCTTTCTTTTTTCCTTTCATCAATCTTGCCCACTTTATCTTCTCACTCTCTTTTCTCTCTTTACCAGTCCTGCTTCCTTTCTATTTTCTCCTTCTCGCTTCCTTTCTTCCTCCATCTTGTTTTCTCTCTCTCTCTCTCTCTCTCTTCCTCTCTCTCTCTCTCTCTCTCTTCTCCCTATTATTCTCTTCACTTCTTTCTTTCTTTCCTGTTCTCCTTTCTCTCTATTTCTTTCTCGGTTTCTCATCTCCTTCCCTTCAAATTTTTTCTACCGCTTTCTCGCTTTCATTATCTTTCTCTTCCTATTTGAAAGTCTTTCAAGTTTATGCAACCTTGTTTAATTAACAGAAAAAAAAAGAAAAACTTTGTTCTTCTCGAAACAATTTTTGGATTGTCCTAACAGATGTGATAAATGATGTCAAGATAGAAAATTATAAAACAAAGATTAAATGTGAAAATCTTTTGCGGTTTGTTTAGCTTCGAATAAAACATTTACAGTCAAGGCGAGAAAGGATGACTAAAAAGTTTTTTTTTTTTTCAAGAGAATTACTTGGCATTGTAATATGATATAGAACAATGACATGTATTTCGTAAAAACAAGGACAGATGACAAAGTTGATATTTATAACATGCACACTCTTTCTTATACGTTGATCGTGGCCTTTTATTGCTAATCTTTGTGATTTCTTTACGGCATTTTCTTTTTAACCGGAATCACCCTAAGCAAGGCAGTAATGCCACTAAAACACAAGGGGTTACAAGGTGTGGAAGAATTAGAAACAGAAACATTAATGATGAACAAAAAGAGAAATGAGTAACCAGGTGGACAGTAGATAGCGATTGACATTGCATTTCAATTTTGAAGACTAAAGTTGGCAGGAAAGCATTGAGCTGGAAGGAAGTTCCACAAGGGCGAGAGAAGAAACATTTAGCATAGAACTTACGACTACATCTAGCCAGCTTTACTGTAAATTGATGAGATCTCGACGCCAGTCTAGTACTGTACTTAAATTCAAAAATCTATGCACCAAAGCGAAGAGCGCATCCGGTCAATTACCCGAAAGTATTTATAGAAAAGCCACAAGTAGGCAACCATACGGTGTGGGAAAATTGCTGAAGGCGATCCGCCAGTTCAGGGCCGATAATATTGCTGATTTTAATTTGGATTTTATTAAGGAACTCAAGGTAACTAGAAGGAGCACCGAGCCATATGTGGCAGCAATATTTTAAGTATGGACGAATGATAGACTTATAGATATGTATGATAGATTCTGGTGAGAATCATTATAGAAAGAGTAATTTTTCAAAAGAATATATTATTTTTGTGTGCCGTGAATTTATTTGTTTCCTCGACACAGTGAACCAACTTACTTAGCAGCTGACCTAGCAATAGATTCAACCTTTCCACTATAATTTACCAATTTGGTAATTTCATGATGGATAATCAGATAAATCGGCTGTACTTTTGTGTATTGTGTATTATGTCTCATAGACCTTATTTTTTTGTCCTACGATGAAAACAAAGAAGACCTCGGTGGACCCTGTGAATAAAAGACTAATTATTGTCTCTTGCTGGTATGTGACCATCTTTCTGGTTACCTATAAAAAGCATAGATATTGGCTAAACAGGCATATAAAATTTTTAATAGACGTTGTCGCAGCAAAATAGATTAGCTTTTCATGATTCTGTAAAGGTTTTTGTCTGTTGGTATTAAATTAGGCCAATACAAACATTGAAAGACCTTAATTATTTACTCAAACTCAATTGTTTGCGTGATCAACATATTTCAAATTCTCTCTGTGCGTAAACTCTGCAATTCACTTAGATTGTTTATATCTGTATCAAGAACACAGAAATATAAAATACATACATAGTAAATTAGAATTTTTCTAGTCCCAAACAATTGCGGTTGATACTTTCATTAGTATTTCATACCGATTCTGTGCTATTTTCTGCGTGTTATTAATATCTATAACAGCTGTGTTGTGCTTATAGCCTTTTGAAGTGGAGAAAGTGTTATATGCGAACGAGAAAAAATTAATCTTGTTGAATTGTTAAAACAAATAGACAAACGAATGAGATATAAAGTTTTATTCTATTGCAATTCTATAGTACAGAGAATGTTTAATGAAAGATCCTGAAAGTGAAAGAGAATGTAAATTTAAGGAATATGTAAAAAGAAGAAATGAATATGGCTGAATCTGTTGTTGAGTGAAGCAGTGAGTGGATGTAGCGACTATGGCATGATTTGTGTTCTCGGGGTGACGACACTCACGTCCCGACTCGTTTGCGATGTTGTCCAAAAAAAGTCTCTTGAAATTCGCGCTATGCATACCCTCAGTTTTTTCTTATTTTTTTCTTTCGCATGCCCTAAAATATTGAAAAAGTTACCCGCTGCTAACAGAGTTTGTAAGCATGCGCCTCTGGCTAAACTAATTGTAGCGGCTACTGCACAAGTAGGTTGCTTTTGTTTGTTTGTTTGTTTTTTTGTATCGAATACAAGGCCTAAGAACCATTCAAGGTAGATGGTTACTGTGTGGTGTTGTATGAGCATAAAAAAGGGCAAGAAGTGATATCTATGGGGTTATGCAGGAAATATAATGGTTAACCCTAGACATGAAGATTGTAGTCATTGTCAAAACATCCTGCCGGGAATCTGTCCCACACAGCAGCAGTTCTTGGTAAGAAATTCTTCGAATAGAACTTACTTTTTACTAAAGAAATACGAAGGGAATGGGGGGGATTCACTCTTTTGCATGTGGCGGGTCCTAGTTGTAAAGGTAAAGAGGTTGTGTGACTAAGGAATATAGTTCGTCAGAATACATGCCATAGAAGTTGCGATAAAGCAGTGAGAGGCTCGTAATGTTTCATCTGTGGGAAAGTGGTTGTAGGGTGGAAAATATTAAAATCCCACAAGGCCGCATAAAGGCATTTGATCTCTATCAAGACGGGCAAGTGAGGACTGGACAGCTCCAGCTCAAATATGGCAGTAATACTCCATTATTGGTCTGATCTGACACTTGTAAAGATAGAATATAGCAAGAGGAGTCAGATACTTACTGGAGCGGTAAAATAAACCAAACATTTTCCCAGCGACCTTAGCAATAGATCGGATATATAGATGAGTTCCACTTGAGGTTTGGGGAGAGTTTGTGTTCCAAGAGACGTTCAAGACAAGGAGACTCTTTAAAAAAAACACCCAGCTATCATGATAGTTGAAAACTCGGAGTCTCTTCGGCGGTGGTGGAAAGTTTACTAGTTCGGTTTTAGCCGTATTGAATTTTACAAGCCAGTTCCCCCCACCCCATTGAGCCACCTGGGCAAGGTCAGAGGCGAAATGAACTGCTAGATCCTTGTCTTCCAGACTAGAGTAATGGCGTCATACTAATAATAGGCTACCACAGGAGCTGCGTGTTTCGTCTGCTAATAAATTAAATTACATAACAATTGTATACGTCAAACTTAATGAGAACAAATGATGATGTACATAAAAATCCTATATAACTGACAATGCACAACAACAAAATAGCAGGCTGCAGGCCACACACAAACTATATAACATCCAAAGTGGGTACTGATTTTCCTCTCTATCAAATCTATGCTTTCTTTAATTAAAGCTAATAAAATGCGGTTCTGAAAACATATTTCTCGTCATGTTTAAACCTTAAAGATATCTGGATTTTATATTTTCCTCGAAATATAAGCTTCGTCATGTTTTGCCAATATATTACTTTATTTCCATCGAGGAAACAAATAAGTTCACGGCACACAAAAATAATATATTCTTTTGAAAAATTACTCTTTCTATGATGATTTAATTTATTAAATTCAATATCGGTGTAATGCATCGTAAAGTTTTTTGACTATGATTAATATTATCTCATACAGAATAACTGATGCATTCAAAATTCTTACATTATTTTTACTATCATCATTTTTGTATTACTTTTTTCTTACAGTTTCCTGTAGACTGGGAAGAACATTATTGCAAGAAATAAAAGAAATAAAAAAGCGTATTTCGTTACTTATTTATTTTATCTGGCTAATTCATTAAATTTCTCCTGACATTTTTGCTTCTTTTAAAAACTCATCGATAGTCTGTAAACTTCTTCTCATTGGAATTTATTATTCTTATACATGCTACTTTACATTGATTCTCATTTGTAGTCTGTATTAGTTACACAAAAGACAATTCGGCTTTGTTAAAAATTTGTCATTGTTCATTCTATTATAGAAACTTTTACTAAACAATTTCTGCACAACTGCTTTTCAAATCCTTTCTTTATCTTTTCTTTTTCTTTCTTTATTTCTCTATCTATCTATCTATCTATCTATTTATCTATTCATCTACCTATTTCTATCATTTTAAACGTTATTTTTAGCGGATACTTGTATTATAGTAGGCGTTTCTGTTATTTATTAAACATTATATTTATTTATTTGCACCTACCAGCATGAATCTTTGAGAAATCTTATTAAAGAAAAATGTTCGCTCTCCGGCAGGAATCAAACCTGCTTATATCAGAGTCAGGGGAATTACCTTTTAGCCCGATACGCCTTACCTCTTGACCACAAAGAAACTAAGAAATAACGTTTGAAGTGATAAAAAAACTGTCAGATGCATTCTAAATATTCCTTATTTCTCTCTCTCTCTCTCTCTCTCTCTCTCTCTCTCTCTCTCTCTCTCTAGATAGCTATCTTTTTATATATATATATATATATATATATATATATATATATATATATATATATATGTCTCTCAACTAAGGTAGCCGCATGCCTTTATGACCTAACCCTAATCGTGCATAGTGGATCCTCATTAGAAATGTGAGGACTAAAAAGTGATATTATATTACTAATTAAGCTGCGAGAGAAAAGTTCTTAAATATTAAGTTTGATCAATACTACGTTCTACTGGTAAAAATCATTAGGGTTTTACATAACTTCGTTTGTTTTTATAATTTATTTTAATATTTATTATGTATTAACAGTTCTGAGAAATCATTCAACAATGATCGTTTACGACCTCCTGCCAAAGATCCACTCACTGTTCAATGCCACGACGATAGAAATCATTACATTTTGACTCGAAAAATTCACCAAGCCACATTTTATGATCGACATCGTTGTTGAAGGAAACACCCCTAAAATTTTTAGAATGCAACTGAAAAAGATGGTATCCGGAAGGCAAAATCAGTTGAATCTGGTGGGTGTGGCAGAACTTCCCAACCGAGTATCCAGGAGTAGCCTGTTGTCGAGCGATAAACTGGCGGCAATGGAGAGGCGCTGGAGTTTGTTTCCCTTGGTCAATGCGTGGCATCCATACGCCGTGTTTCTGGACACTTGCCATCTTCTGGGCCAATTCCCTAGTCTGGCGCGATAATTCTTTAATCAGCGCGTGCAATTGGTTCCCGTCAAAATGAGCAGGTTGACCAAAACGCGGAGAGTCTTTGAGGTCGAATTTCGGATCCTTGAAACGGGAAACTATTTCTGTGTCATTCTGTCAGTAATGAAGTCATCTTCGTACACAGCAGAAATGTCTCCAGCAGCTTTGGGACCTTTGTGACTTTGATTAAAAGTAAAGAGAAGATGTCGAGCATGTTCATTCTTGTCTACTTGGCCTTACATCTCAAAGGGGTGCCTAATCTGAGATAAAATTTTAAAAACGCTAGACAACTGTTTCACAGAATGATCAGATTTATTCAGAAGCAAAAAATGCTATGAAAGACTATTCTTCGAGATCATTTGCAGAGCATCAGAGAAAGCGAAGGAATATATGGAACAATCTGATACTTGACTTACTATTTATCAATCAACACAAAATTTTTAAAGCAAGTTCTAAATTATTTGGGGTCAACCTTGTCGGCGAGGTGTCTTAGCGAAGTAAATATAATTTTTGTAAAGGGAAGAATCAATGACTGAATAGTCGACAGGTAGATGAGGAGTCTTGGCGAAGTAAATATCATTTTCTGTGCTTATAATTTTAACAAGTAGAGAGGAAATGATTAGGAAGACTGTGTTGCACCAATCTTCCAAATGGAAAACGGCTAGGAAATACGCAACTTTCCCAGCTGTACTGTTTACAAATTAAAGAAGAAAAGATCGAAAATCATACTTGATTCTAGCATCTCAAAAAAAAAATCCGCATAACGAAGGTAATTCTAGATTCTGAATTTCTACTTCGAATACCTCCTTCTCGACTTTCTCACCGATGTGACGTGGCTTCCCTCTGCCTTTTCTACAAATATTTTCATGGCAACTACTCTGATGAGCGTTTTCCCTGGTGCACCGACTATATGAATTTAAGCGTGCTACTAGATTGGCTACTAGGTCTCACTACTTTACTGTTGAACTAGCTAGATGCAACCACCACTTCTCCTCTAACATTTTTCTCACACTTCCCACCTGTGGAACTCCCTTCTGATTTCTTGCTTCCTTGACAACTACAATCTGTAAAAATTTAAATGCAACGCCAATCGCAATCCACTGTCTGTTCCCTTTTTGTCCTTTCCCCAGTCTTGTCATTCTCTTGCACTTTAACTCCTGTAACTGTCTGCGTTCTAGTGGTATCATCGCCTTGCTTAGGGGTGAAACGATTAAAAAAGAATGATTTTTATGCAAAAACAATCTATCGATCGATCTATTTAAAAGCCAATTTGGTAGCTGAGATGAACTTATCTCTTGGGTTTGTCGTCAATGTTCGAGCGCAGCCTTAAAATAAATATTTCAAACGTTGATGTTCAATATACTTTACTTTTGTTGACAGGAGAAAGTCGATTAAAATAAAAGCGAGATAGAGTCAGAGTTCACGTTGGCCTGAAGGGAGATCTGATCTGTTCGTCTGTTGTGAGAGATGACAAGTAGCAGTGAAGATGTCTCAAGTGTCACATACCAGGGGCATGGCAAGTGAATCTGTGAATAAATAACTACATTTATTGGAAACAGGATTTATTTTCATTTCTCGCTTTGACGATATTTTCAGTTTTAATTCGCTTGTGAACGTACACCGAGTCATTCTCGGGGGTTTTTTTTTGTTTTTTGTTTTTTTTTTTGTGATTTGTTCAGTCATTTACATACTGCGTGCTTCTTCTTCTTCTTGAAATTTCTGGGACACACAGGAAAGAGGGCTTGAAGAATTTGACACTCACGGGATATATGGAAAGCAAGAAGTGTAGATAAGAACATTGAGTACCCTACCTATGAAGCTAGCGTAAATGGATGACAGAATAGAAAATGAAAGTGATAGTAAAGAGACAAACATTACTTAGAACTACGAAGGGTAGTAAGTTGTGGAGAACAACAATTTCCCTCATCCTGAAGGAATACGGCGCATAAAACAAGAAGAATCTGCATTTTGTACGGCTTCAAATGCAGCTCTTGGTGAAGTATACGCTTTAGACTCCTTTTAGAAACCCGAATTTAAGCTGAGAGATAACTGACCGAAGTGGTCGGACTTTTTGCGAGAAGAAGTAGCGGCAACAATTAGCTCAATTGTCTGCAATGTACGTTCTGGAATTACCTCCAAGTTTCCTCAAATTTTCAAAAAAAAGTGAAAAGATGGCGTTGCAACATTGGGTCTTGTCTACCCAAAAACTGTCTTCAGAAAGACCGCTGCCTTTGAATAGCTGAAAATGACTGCATTTAAGAATTTATATCATAGCATACAACCTCAAAATAAACAAAAATAAATTCTAGAATGTTCCATAATGTTCTAGAAGACTCCAAGAAGTACTACAAGGTTCTAAAATCTTCTAGAAGGCCCCAGACACTCATAATACTAATATACTTATATTAATTTTTTTTTAATTTCGTGTTAGGGTGCCATTTTTTAAAAGATAAATTAAATTAAACTATTCTTTATTCATTTTTAACAATCTTTCTTGGCTTCAGTCACTTTCTTACTGCTGTATGTAGCTTCCCTGTACCTTTTCTATAAATACTTTCATGGTAATTGTTCTGATGAACTTTCCGCTATAATACCTAGACTTTATGAAATTAAGCGCACTACTAGATTGGCGACATGATTTCATTATTTTACAGTTCAAATGGCTCGATGTAAGTTTTATGCTAGCAGTTTCCTCTATTACACTTCTCGCTTATGCAACTCTCTTCTGACTGATTGCTTTCTCGTCAACTTTGATCTTCAAAAATTTAAATGCAATATCTATCGTTACCTTCTAAAAAATGGATGTGACAATACATATTATCAACCTCACACCAAGAATAAATTGTAACGCAGTTAAAAATGTTGGTCTTTTAATAAAACGACAAACGTTTGTGCAACAGGTGTTCATTAGTTGTGTGGAAATTAATAAAGTTTGTAACTTTAGATGTATTTAATTTCAATATTTTATTTCCAGAGTCCACCACTAAATTAAATAAAAAGTGTTGTAATGGAAAACCCCATACTCCCTATATAATTAGCTATATATAGTGAACACAATATATACCTGGGGGGCTTTCTTTGGGAATCACTAGCCTGTCACCCGATTCCCTGTCTTTCAGTAGTGTATTCTCTTTTGCAATAAATCTTTCATCTATGCGCGTGTTGCTGTTCCTTCATTCGAATACCACCTTTGTCGGCTGATTCAGCGTTCTATTCGACTGTTCCCCCAAGGGCTTCTTTCCTACTAATCTTATAGTAGGTGGAAGAGTCCAACATAGACTCTTTAGAGGGAGGACACCACAACAGATACAAATGTAAGATACAACAATCTGACTGCGAGAGAAAAGCCTTCATTTTCGCCCTGACTTTATATGTCTTGTATTAGCATCAGCTGTGGTTGCTTGTCGAAATATTTCTTATTGGAGTCTTACAGGATATAATTTATGAGCAGTTCGCTTTTCCTTAGCTTGACAATCAAATCTATATTTTATTGACTTTCAAATTTCGCTCCATACAGCTCTAGCCCGTGTCCTGATGATTAATGCAATGCTATCATACTACTACCCACGATTCGTTTATATATTGGTGTCTAAAGAATTCATGGCGTTAATTATCCGACAGTTTTTATTACTACAAACGTTATTATAGTGGACGCTCGTATTTGAAATAGACGCCCCATTTTTATTATTTTTTTATTAAACTGTGTGCAATACAATTATAGCAAAGTAAAGAAAATGTAACCTCCGACAGGTATCGAACCTGCGTCTCCTTTTGTAGGGGAAAATACCGATTGATCCGTAATGCTTTACTATTCAGCTACAAAATAGGGTTTAAAAAAAAGAGCCTTGCTTACTGTGAAGCCCTACGTTCTAAATAATAAAAAATATTGCTGTCTGTAATAACTAAAAGCTATAAACGCTTATACTAGATCAAGTTTTTTTATGTATTACACAATACAAGACTCGAGAACCACTCAAGATAGAGGGTTAAAGTCGAGATGGTAATGATGAATGAGGTGCGTGATATGAATGGAAGAGTAGGATGTTGGGATTATGAGGATGAGAAGAATATATAACGATCGGATCTTGACTTGAAGAGGGCAAAATTAAAGAAAGAAAAGCAACCACGAGTGACTCAAAAAGTAACACTTCTTGCGAAAAAGCTGAGTGGAACATCCTTCTTATATTTGAAACACGAGATGGGGGAAATGAAGGTGATTCAATCCTGTGGAAGTAACATACATAAGGTTGTAAACTAAAGAGTGGTCCTTTAAGAACACCAGATATTTTGTGATTAAGCAGGAT